GCGATTTTATCGCCGATAAAATCGAGGATAATCGCGACTTTATCGGCGATAAAATCGCGATTTTTCCGTTGAAAAATGCTACTTGGGTTGATCATCCGTTTTGAATACCGATTATCAATAAAACAGTCTTTCAGAAAAATCTCAAATTTTCTTTTACTTCGTTTTTGTTTGAAAAATATGATCTGAGGTAGTCTGAGATCTGAAAAAAGGAGAGCAAAGGTAATAATCATCTTGAAATTATAATTGTAAGTTTTTAAGATCCCTTCAAAAACTAAAACCAGTTTTCATCTACCTACGTCTTAGCGCTCAAAAGATGCAGTCTTGGAAATTTCTGAAAATTAATTTGAGCCATGCAAAGAATAGAATAGAGTAGTGAGTGTAGTTGCTTTTAGAGTAGTTGTAGAAATGTAGATAATGTGAATCAATTTTCATATCATCTTGTATCATCTGTTTCACTAGATAAAAACCACTATCCAATGAACATACGAACTAGAGTTATCTTCTAATAAACATGGCCCAGAATTAGACTTTCACATTCTAATTTTTCAGACAAAAAGATTATGTTCTTTACATAAATTTGCATCAAAATCCCCTGCTAATGTGTCGGTATTAGTATATTTTTTTTAAAGTTCTCCTCCGAGTGGACATTCAAAAGATCCGAAGGAGAAAGATTATTTTATTTTAAGTGCAGTCTTTTTCATAGCAGTTTATCCTACATCTGAAACTGAACTACATCTCTTTTTTTAAACTTCTTTCTGTCTTTGTTTTTTCAGGATTGGTGAAAATGTTAAAGAATTGACAATTGTTGCCAACCCTATCATAACGGTCACTGAGCATACTCCAATTCCATCTCCAGACTTTTTTAAAATGAAGGTAAGCAAGCAGTAATCTACTCTAAACTTTTTCTCAACAAAATACCTAGCAGTAATTTTATTTGAGAATAAAACTCCTACTGGAAATTTTTCACTATATGCTAACAAAACCCTCCCGAAACATATTGTCTTCTACGATTGGTGTTTTAATACTTTTCACCCATGAATTACTGATGAACTATTGAAATTAAGAAGACACTTGATCATATCAATCCCAATTATTGCTGAACGAACTGGAAATAAGAAAAAAGCAAAAAATCCTTGGGTGCTTTGCCTTCAGGCTCGTTTATAGTGAAACACTCATGTCAGGCGTCTGATCAATCAGGTAGATTAGATGAAAAATCTGGGTGAATTCTAAGTCGAGCACCAAAAAGAAAAATGTTGGGCCCAGAAAATAAGTATTAAGAATTATGTGTACCAAAATATGAGACAAATTTTAAAAAAGTGGTTTCTCTAAAATTTTGTCAAGGGTTCAATGGACAGTCAGCTGGACGAGCCATACAACCATGGGAAGCAGGGTGAGCTGACTCATGAATCAAAGCACGGTAGTCTTACAAGATCACAAACAGACTCCAACATCACATACTCTCCAGAAGACATGGTGGAAGCACCTGGTTCCTCCTGTTACATCACCAAAGATGGCGATATTGATCTCCAAGTGGTTCTCAAGGTATATCTATATAGTTCTGTTTTTATTCTTCATACAATTTGGATTTACAACTCTAGAAAAAAAAAGAAATTGTAAATAATTACTTGTGTCTTTCCCATTTCATCTTTTTTCTTCCGCAAACTTACTTATTGATGTACAGTTTTAGTTAAAATTTATTGAGTGAAATCCTGAAACATTTGTTTTCGTCATCAAGATATTCATTTTTTCAGAGGGAAAAAATATGAAAACACTTATATGTAATTTAATTTACTTGTCATGACTGGACACAAAATGCTTCCAAAGTGTTCCTAAATGCCTGCAATATGACCTATACTACCTATCTTCACTTACCTATGAGCCAGGAGACAAATACTTCTAAACACCGAGTTTCTCCTTTGTTCTATTTGTGAAAGTAACTGCAACTTTTAAAATTATTCATCCTCAGGATCATACAAAACTGAATGAATTATCTAGGCATTTTTGAAGTATGGAAATGGATGCAAGCCTGCCCCTTTATCAGAAACTAAGTAATTTACAAATAAACTAGTTATGTAAATAAAGTAATCTTCGTGTGCCCTGGTTTTTATGTGAGTCATTTATTTAACATATCGTCACCTTCCAGGCAAAGTATCACAAGCGCCATGCGACGTTTAAAAATTTCAGCCGCCATTTTATTTTTTTACAGAGAAATTTTTCAACGAAGCTGTCCGAAAATTTCACTGAATTTTCTTTGGGCTGCCGATAAAATTTAGTGAAATTTCCAAACAGATTCAACCAACAGTTTCTCAGTAAAGAAATAAAATGGCGGCGGAAATTTTTAAACGTCGCATGGCGCGTGTGATACTTTGCCTGGAAGGTGACGATATATCTTGATTCTAAGCTCATTGGTCTTCAGTTTGCAAAATAAAATTTTATGTCGTTAATTATTATTGTATAATCTCTTTTTCTATTATTTTCCACAGGCGATTCATAGTGTTGCTTTACGTGAGAATGTCAGCTGTACTATACGAGTTTGTGAAATGATCCTAAATCTGATTGAGTTGCTCATTGAAATGGGTGCTTTGAAGCAGTGCTTGCGTGATGAAATTCTTACAGACAAATCAGGAGATAATAATACCAGTGAGAGTGAGGAGCCAAAAAAGTCTTCAAAAAATCCTCAAAACAAGTTGAATTCGCCGCATTCTCTAATGTTACACTCGGTTATCAGGTAAATGTTACATCTCTTCTTTTCTATTACTGTTAGGCTGTTTGCCTCAAAAATTCCAAGGGAAATCCATCAAGTGAGCCGTGCGATCCATTTCATTGATAGAAGTCTTCGCTAGCTTATTATCTTTTTTATTATTCCTACATTCTTTTTTGAACAGTGCTAAAAATTTATCAATGAACAAAGCATGCCACTCAATACATGGATTTTAAATGGCAAACTAATTAGTACCAATAAAATTGTAAATATTCTGACTAGAACCATATCAATGATTATTGTTCATCCGTGTCAATCTTTACTAAAGAAATGAAACAAATTTAAAATGGTGTGAATTCTATTTTCTGCCGTATGCAGAGCTGTATCTTTTTTTTATATGCATCATTAAAACAGAATATTTTGTTTTAGGGTTATCAGGTATGGTGGGTGTCAGAACAGCTGTAATGATGGACAGAGGAGTCCTCCCCCAGATTACATTCGATCTCATGGCCATTCTCTGCTGAGCAAATTGCGCCGAACTAGTTCAAGGCAATTCTCTAGGTTTATGAAGCACATGGTTCTGAAAGAACCGTTGCATGATGTCATTGAATTTTTCCACTCTTATGTCAGCTTTTGCAGTGACTCAAACTCATTATTGTCACCTCTTCGTAAGTATAACAAGCCTTCTACATTTTTTTAAAGTCAATTCTTGGGTGAGAGATTAACTTTCCCAAAATCTTAAATGAAATAAAACATTGTCTGTCAGTTGGAATTCGACCAATTAAAATCGTGATTTTATCCTTGAGAAGTTGACATTGTTTTTGCCAAGAAAATCTTGCAGTTTTACAGTTATTTGAATTATATTGCTGTGTGAAGATTTGATCCATTCATCAGTCTATTTAAATTCTGCATTTTTCTTTTCGTTTTGTTTTTTTTTTTTTTAAAAAAGAAAGAAAAAAAAAGAAGTTTTGCCTAGCTATGAAACAATTTTCAATCATTCTATATTTACCGACATTTTTAAGGGAACAACTTATGTATGTTCCTCTCAAGTCTAAGAAACACCCACATTCCCTATGTTTTTGTAATGCTTGTCATGAGATAATACTTGGTCTTTGTCTGTTGTGTAGATCAAAAACGAACATGGTGTAAATCTCCAGACATGGCAACTCAGGGAATTTATGCCACCAATTTTAATGCCAATGTGGGGAACGCTCGAAATAAAGGCTTAGAAGGACAGATAATCGCCTGCGTCTTTAAAACTCTGGTCACTCGTCTGATGAAATCCTCAAAAGAAATGAAGCTACCGGAACATGTGGTGAGTGATGAGTTTTTTAATTTTTCTGGAAAGACACTACATATTTTTTACTATTACATATTTTTTTTCTTTTCTCTCATGCTTGTTTGCTTGGATAGGCCTTAGGTGATTTGTCCCAGGTTTTTGACAAGGTTAAACTGACATGCAATACATTGCATGGATGAAGTAAAACTGCGCATGTATCTTAAAAAAAAACTTAGTATTCTAAAAATGTTCCTCTTTTAGATAATGCCTTTTGTGCTTTATTTACTGCAAGGATACTCCTCTGTCATTCATCAAAATGAGTGAGCATTGTAATTTTATAATTATTTCTTTAATTCCAGGCCTTATTCAGTGATATAAGAGCACTCATCATGTACATTAAAGAAACTCATGGTGGAACCTTCAAAAGAGTAGTTTTAAGTGCCCTTTTAGATACAGCAGTACGTCCACGTCGGAAAGAACCTGCGGTACAAACAACTCGAGTTGTGAGGTATGAATATTATTTCAGACAACATTCTCATTTGAATTTGATATATTTATGATAAATGGAACTATGCTCAATGACATAAGGCATAAGGAATCATGAAGTATGCAAATCTTAAGCACATAGTTCCTTTTGATTTACTTGATTCATTTGCATATAACATAACCTCTTTGACTTAAGGGTGTATCTCAATTTCCGTGCTGTAACTTTATGCTTTTCAGAGCACATATGGAAATAGATATATGCCCTGACGTCCGAGAAGTGACAATAAATAGGCCCATCATTTGGTGTTGAATGAAAAGGTAAATACCAGCTTATGATTTGTTCCTTCTTTTGTGTAGTTAAAAAAATTATTGTCATCCTCAAGTAGGAATTTTACAATTTTTAGGCATTTCAAGTCTCAGTGTGTAAAGAAGGAAGCTACAAAACATACACAACCAGTCAGAATGCCAAATGCCAAAAATGCAAATTGGTGCCGCCAAAATGTTTGACTGCAATTGCAATTTCTCGTTTAATTTTTAAACCTTTTGAATGTGGCTTTCAGGACTAAATTATGGTAGTTTCTTCATCTTTGGAGTTAGCTTCTTTATAATATTGGAGCGCTGTCATCATAAAAGGTCAAAAGTCTCTGTAACAGCTTAACCCGTTTTAGTCTCTCAATTAATACCTCAATTCAAAAGTTTTGCTGACTACAATTACAATACAAAATTTTTCATCTTTCACTTTTTTTTCCTTCTTTTTTTTTGAAGAAAAAATCTTTAATACAGTCGAGTTTAACAGCTAGAAAGTTGGGCAGCATAGCGAATGCCTCCTATTATTATTAAGCATTAATAATAATGGCATTATTTTAATGGCATTTTTTTAATGGCATTTTTTTAATTGCATTATTTTCTAGGCATGCTGATAAGCCAGTTGTAGTAAGGCTGTTTTTTCATTGCCAAAGGAGTTATTTTCTCCTGATTTTTTCAGGCATATTCCATCGTCGGAGTTAAACGAACAGCAACCAAATGCAGCACCTTGTTATGTGATGGATGAAAAAGAAGCCAGGAAAATACTTTTTAAGAAACGAAGTACCTCCTCAACTTGTGCTGTAAGTTCATATTAAAAAAATACTTAAAATCTTGATGTGAATTCTCAATTTTATCTGTTAAATTCCTCCTCACAGAGATTATGAAAGTACTAGCTGAATTTGATTTTGAACTCAAACACAAATTAAAACTGATTCTAGTTTATACTAGATCTTGCTATCTCCATTGTGGTGCTCAGTTTATGTTTGCGATTTATTATAAAGTCTCATTTTATTATTATTTACTAGTTGAAAGGAAGATTGAATCCATCCAAAACGTACCAATCATTTTATTTAATACTTTAACTTTGCATGTTCATTTTGTTTTGACGTCTTTAGCTAATTTTGATGATCTGTTTTCATGAACTTGTTGCTTTTTTATCTTTTATGCATCAACATAATCAGTATTAATGTTTTCATTATTTATTGATTTTTTTTTTTTCACCAGAGTTTACTGGAAACAGAATTAAATGAAGAATCAGGAGGAAAGGTCCAGAGCCCTCTGGGTAATTTTCGGAAAAAACATCATCACATCTTGACTCCGAGGCAAAGTGAAAGGAATTTAGGCGATACGGATTTTTCTTATTCCAAACAATCAATGAGACTACACAAAGGAGGCCTTGGTAAGTCCCTCTATTTGTGGATTTCCATGCACTTTTTGTAATGTAATAACCTCTCTGTGTCAAAATTGTACCCTTAATTTGATGGTCATGCCTATCCCCATGCATAAAAGTTCTAAGCTGGAAACAAAAAGGGAAAGAGAGAGATTAAATCAGTACAATAATCTCCTCTTCTTGCTTTAAAATTAATATTTCAGATAAATGCAGTTACACATTATTTTCTTTTGGAAGTTTTAACTGTAAGACAAGTGAAATGTTCTCTTGCAAAATAAAGAGGGAGAGGAAAATGTTGAAACATAACATTGGAATTACTTTAATTTCAGTTGTTGTCAGCTGAGTTGGCACTTGTTTTTATTCCGCTTGCAAGCAATCCCAATGCAATCGCCTGATAGCGATCAAGGATTGACCACGGCCTGATCATGAGCGTAGTTAATCCTCGATCCACATTGGACAACTGCATTGCAGTTGCTTAGCTGATGACACTTTTAGCCACATTGTTATATCCTATGATATTCTCCCTACAATATTTCCAACATCTTAATCCTAAAATTGCAACTGAAAAGATCAATAATTCAATAATATCGAGTAAAATTAATAAGTAAACATATAAATATGAATAAATGAAATGGCATTTTTTGAAATCTTCCAAATATTTTTCATTTGATTACAGTTAGTTGGTTTAGAAGGAAGTATGGAAGGTCAGAATCGATGGATAGTTATGAGGGAAGTGAATCTCCCGGCGAAAGTGCTCTTGCTCACCAAGCTGCCTCTTTACATCATTCTTACAGTAAATCGTCTCAAAAAAGCGTAGCCAGGTAATGAACCCAATTTAAAGGCATCGACTACGAAATAGAGAGAAAACACAGATCAGTCAATTCATAAAAGATTCTCAATTGGATCTGTTTATAAATTTCGAAAAAAAGAATTTTAGTACAGTTAGCCTATTCAATACTCTGCTCAGTAATAATGGTTAAAAACAGCAAAAGTTCTATTATTACTTAAGATGCATGCATTATTTAAAAGACTCTAATTGTAACATAAGATATTTTACTATTTATTTTTTTCTTTGCAAGGTATGTTTATCTTAGTGGTACTGACACTTCTCTAGTCAGAAATCATCTTTACAACTCGAAAAATTCTTGTGAATTATTTTTCTCTCCTCATATTTTTTTATTTTTTTTTTAATAAAATACTTTTTTTCTTTAAAATTATTCGCTATAAGATTTTCGAATAATTTAATTCGGACAGAATTTTTAATTTGCAATGCTTTTTCAGTGTCGGTCACACCTTTCACAAAGCTAAAGTACGTATGGAGCATCAACTCAATAAATTTGGTTTTGGCAAAGGGAAGAAAAAAGATGGAAGTGTTGAAGAAACACCAGGAAGTTGTAAGTCAAAACTCAATCTGTTTAGCTAGCACGTTTCTATATTTGCATTATAATTTAAGGTAATTGATTTTTTTCCCTTTTTGTTTGAACATTTTTATGTTACTGCATAATTTGCCCTTTCCTCCTCCGCATATGTACTCTTTTTTTTCGAAAAAGAAAAAAAGGAAATTTTATCAGCATTATTTAAAATATCTATCATTTGAATGTATTCTTTGAACATTCAACAAGTAATATCTTATCATTAAGAGCATTTGTGAGCAACCACAAGAGGAAAAGCCTTTGCGTGTTTTGCGTCAAGCTTCAATTGTATTTTTTCCCTTTTCTTTTTCTTTTTCTTTTTCTTTTCGTGTTTTTTTTTTGTTTAAATGAAACATGGTTTTTACATTTTTAAATGCATGAAATACTTCTTGTTGACATATTGTAATGGGGGATGAAAGGATCCAACGCTCGTAGCTCAGAATGGTAGAACTGGTCAATATAATCGGTAAATGACACGGTATACACAGGATGCACTTGGCTAAGGTGATCACTCTACTCGCTGCCTCGATATACGACCATGCGCCGTGAAGATCGAGAGTATATATCTTGTAACGTCCGACCAAGCTATGACGTCGGAGGCGTAATTGCGAGATAATCGGCGCTACAAGAAAGATGCTCTAGATGTCAACATGCTTGCCTGAGCTTGCACTTGCGAAACCAATGACTTTTGGATAGTTTGAGCTAGAAAGCATAATGGAATGCGGCCCTAGAACCGTAGGTGATATGGCCTCATTCCATTACAATATTTAAATTTTTTTTTGTTTCAAATGACGACAATAACCCTTTTTTAGTAGTGATATCATTATCCTGATTTTTATCCTATGAAAATTCAGGGCCTTCTAATTTTTTTTGTCTCTCTGTATGATTTAACCATAAAACACAATTTTGTGACGAGCAAAACTCACCATAATTCAATGAAAATACTTTAACACAAATTACATAAAAAACTAATTGTGTTTCACCAGAGGTCTTATACTTTTCAGGTGTTCAGCCTTTTTTTTCTTTTAAAATTACATTTATTTAACACCGTTACAGGATTCATAAGTAGATTTGACCGATTTTTATCAAATGTTAGCAAAAACGAGTTTTTCAGTATGTAATATTTCAAGCCATGTTTATTCATGTATTTTTTTAATGTCCAAACAGATCTAAGCAGAAGGAATTCAACGGAGTATGGAGACCAATCTAGAGAATCAGAAATCGTGGTCCTGAAAGAAAGGCGACTTGTCCAGCAGGAACCCTTGTTACGAGGAGTTCAAAGGCTCTCGTTTCTACTTGAAACATGTTTGCCTGGTTCAACACCTGATCCGCATTTAATAGCAGCTGTTCTTGACCTGGTTAGTAATTTGTTACTAGAGGCCAAAATAAGTGAAAGAAAGGTATGCTCCTCTGATTCAGGCCACCCTAAATCAACAAAATTCTCGGTCGTGTTGGTATCGTTCCTGTCTTGAGGGAAATTTGCCCACAGAGAAGAGCACCAGGAAGAATAAAAAATGGCAGAACTGGGACGCTGTTTCAAACTTTACGCAAAGACTGAAAAGAAACCAATATGACGGAGCATTTTCTTGATTCCAGTTGCTGACATTGAGAAAAAGTATACTTTTGTTTCTAACACTTTGGGTGGAGGCTATTCAAATATATTTTATCCATGTTTTTCCATCCTCTGCTCTCAGGAGAAAATCCAAAGATTATAAAGAAAGAAAGCTCTGAGATCTGTAGAGTGATGGATTGCTTGATTGCATCTGATTCTATGTGATTTCCCTTATTTTGAGAGTGCAACCTAGCTGTATATGTTTTTTTTCAAAATTCCTATAATCACGAAATTGAAATATGTCTTTAAATTCATATTAGTCCATTAATATCATTGATAAGCTCTCTTGTACAGTGCTAATCGGGCAATCTTTGCAATGACAGACTTTGCAATGATCAGATCTCATCAACTCTATTGTTGCGTTATCTTTATTGAAGATTATAAGTATCCATTGCTTCCCATTCATGTAGATTCAATTCGTTTTTCACCATTTTATCCAAAAGAAATGTGGTGTGTCCATGTGTTGATCCAAGAAGATCCTGCTTTGTTTCATTATTTTTTTCTGGGACTTTTTTGTAATAATCAACCCAAAATGTGTTTACATGTGCAGCCCAATACAGCAGTTGTTGCACGGGCTGCCTTTCTTCTGGAGTGCTCCTATTTTGTCCACTGTTGTAACAAAGGACAGTGGCCTCAGTGGATGAAATTTAACTTTCCGATGTTTCGACCTTCCGGTCCGTTCATCAACCGTGGGAGTACTGTTCCGATTGGAGTGAGGAGATCTCAAAATTTGCAACGTGCCGCTGGAAAAATGTTCTATCTTTGGGGTGAGGTAAGTGTCCTTATCGTTACCTTTTATGTATTTTTCCCCCAGATCTTTGTTAATAGAATAGGTGGATAAAAAACCGACCTTCTGCTTATCATGTATGTAGTAATAAATATGACTGATAATATTATTACTTAGACATAGCAAGCATTACATAATATTATCAACTTACATTAGTGAAGCTTTTCTAGTATACATTCCCCATCCTCAAAAACAAAAAATTTCAAAGTATACACAATCAATCAAATAATAAAATAAAATGCAAGACTAAAACCTTTTTTAAAGAAAAAAGTATGAAAATTAAATTTGAAAACTATGATTTTTTTAGTTCATATCTGGTAACAAGTATACATTATATCATCATTATAAAATATCTATTTTAATGGAAGCATTAGTAAATTCAAATCATTTATGGATAATCATAAAAGCCATGTATTATTTTTTCTTTTACAGGCTATAAGTGCAAAACTAGAAGAAATGCTCCTAGAAGACAAACAACATATCACTGAAATTGTCACCATGCTTTGTGATGAAAACAAACAGAAGCAACTTTTAATCGAAGATGAAGAAGAAGATTTCTTAGATGAATGTAAGTACTCTCGTTCATAAATACCTGATTTTCCTAGGAACTGATTTAGTCACAGGCAAGATCCATTCATGCATATGAATAGTAAAAAGAGATCATGTTATTATGTGAATCCATTTGAAAGTAACTGGTGTAATTGATTTTAATAATATTCAATTCAAGTCAATTGGCATGACAATCTCTTCCTATGCTTTCATTTGTATTAACCCATATGTATCTATTGAATAATCAATATTTTCCCAGGAATATAGTGGCTTGACATTAGACTGAAGCTTTAGAGATGTGCAATGGTACAATTCTATTTTTTTAAAAAATTATTTTTTTTTCATTTTTTTTTCATGTTACCAGTTATTAAATTTAACAATCATACTGATTCTTATTGTAATCTCAACTTTCAGCAACAGTCAATCTGTACGGCTCAGACTGTCCCATTGCTCTCAGACTTCTAGCTTGCACTTTGTTGTTGGAAATCACAGCTTTTCTTCGTGAAACCTATCAAAATCTGCCCAAGCTTACCTGTGTTTGTAGTAAGGACCGACCGCCTCCGTGGGATAAAATTTTCTGTCGAGACCCAAACCGGCGGTGGAGCATGGCGCTTTCGTCTATGGGGCAGTCTCAAACTTCAGCTCAGAGCTTGCAGTCAATTGTTGGAGATAATAAAGAAGCTGGTAATGTAAAGTCTTATTTCTATTTTACTCCCAGATTAGGTCATTAAAAAGGTTCTTGTTAAGTGAAGTTCTGCCTTTTTAATGTCCTGCACCTAACAACTTATCCTTTCAATCAAGGAGCAGGTTATTCTGGAAGTAGTGTTTTAGTACTCTCTGCTTAACAATTTTGTATAATGATAGTTTGATGTGGTCTAAGCTTTTTTCAGAGGTAAATTTTTTTATAACAGTATAGTTTATACAGGGAGATCCAGTATCAAGAAAAAGCAATTATTAATTCTTGCCTTTCATAAAATGTAATATTCCTAAAAATTTGATGTCTCCTAAAGTTCTATCTGGAAAGTTATTCTGAAATTGGAAAAAATAACCAAACCTTATAAGACATTTCCAGGGTTTTCCGTTAAACTTTGTGTTGGAATGAACTTGAAATTGTAAAATGTCTGCAAAGTGTGAAAGCTCCTTTCTGCAATCTCAGTGTAATTCTTAAGTTCAGTTGGCATCAAATATGGTTCGTAAGTATCAAAGAAATGTTCATCATGAACACAGAGGCTTTAAAGTAAGCTTTAGGACAAGTTATATATCATTCATTCATTGATAGCTTTACAGAAATCTAATGGTTTCTCAACGAGGGATAGTAAACTGTTTTTATTTAATTTGAAGGATCAATGGATAGCACAAGCGTCCGTTCTTTGCAAGTCAGTGTTTACACAAACAAATTCAAGTCGCTCTTAAAGCCAACTATCGATAGATTGCGGACGCGAAGCATTCTCTTGCCCAGCGACGCTCTATTGAGACGCGTTTCGCAACTCAGCACTAACAGTTCCGTCGATTACTCTGGCAAGTTACAAACCAATGATAATTCGCACCGCTTATCGATTGTGATCCATCACTATTTGCACCGTCTCCCTCCATAGTTCTCTCTTAAAATCTCCGAAATTTTCCTCCCCAACTAGGAGTAAGTACACATCTAGGTGCTCTTTACTTTCAGTTTATCTACACCAGCCTTATACCTGTATTTTTTAGTCTATCAAATGTTTGCCGCAGAAATTCTTACTTTGACAGTACTCATGATTCTGCTTATATTTAATCAGCTCTTCTAAAAGCACATTCAATCTACCAGTCAAGAGCAAGTGTGTTGGAGTTCTGAATTAAGGCGTTATGCATCAGCCCTTTGAGATAAGTTTAGGCATTATTTGATGAATACCAAACTTTTTTTGATGTATCACATGTTTTGAATTTTAGTGGAGCTTTTTGGAGCGTGGACTTTTATCTCGCAAAATAGGAATTAAATTAAGAGCAAAGCAGCCAAAAATGAAGGCGAAGACAGGTTAAATAAAAAATTTGCTGTCTCTCTGATAATATTATTGAAATTACCTCTACTGTACTTTTGTCTTTTGATTGGAGCTCTGTAACCTTAACTTTCATTGATGCACATTCAAGGAAAGTGTCTGTCTCTTTTGGAAATAGTCCCAGTAAAATCTGTCATGAGTCCAAATCGATTTTTCTTTGCAACAAATTGTATTTTGAATCAAGGCAAACATTAAGAAAAGAATAATGCTTAAAGCCTGCTGTTTGGAAACTCCAGTGATCAAAGCCTTGCCTTGACAAGTAGGAAGAAAGTGCCCTAAGCCTTATGCACCATTTCCCCTCTCAGAGTTGGGTGTTTAGTTGAAATTCCCTGGAGAGATGCTCCCAAAATTACCTATTTCTGGGGACTTAGTGCAGTCTTATGGTCAAAAACTTATCCATGAGAGGGATGGATGATTATGCAGTGCAGCAATCAAGGAAAACTCTGTAGTTGCTGTTGTAAATTAACGTTTCTCCTCAAAGTCTTTTTGAGATGCATAATTTTCCGTATAGATTCTCTCGCTAAACAAGTGAACACCTGCCACTCTGAATAGTATTTTATTTACCGCACTCTATACTTTTTTGCTTTTTGGGAATATTTTCTCTGAAGAAATTTCTGCGTTTGGTGAATAATGATTACTTTTTTCCAATTTTTTCTAATAAATATTAGGTGGTTGTTGTCAATCTCTGACGAAATGAGATTTATTTATCATTAAAAGTCAGACTCATTTTTGTACTCATTGAGTCTGACAGGATATGAAGGTTTATCATGTTACAGAGTGTACTCACTTTTCCATTGGGCTTACTTTGGTGAGCCATACGCAACAAAATTTACTGCAATAACTAGGCCACAAGCTTCAGCTTTTCTTACGGTGCAGTAGAGATTCATTAATGCAACTTATGACAACTTTAGTCCTATTTTTTTTTTTGTCATCATTAAAGGGTTTGCTACTTTTAAAAGTACATATCTTCGAAACCATATGGTATTCAAGTATTTATAATGGAGGCAAAAGCAAATCAATGTTCTCGGGAAATTTTACATTTTAAAGAACTTGATATACATTTACATCTACAGAAATTCATAAGTTCATACACCAAGTTCAAAGGTACAGCAAGTATTAAAATTATGAAAAAATTATTTTCTCTAATCTTACCTGTAGTTTCTGCTCTTCATATCATTGTAGGAAGACTCTAGTTTTAGCACTGACTGTATGAGTTTTCTTTCAGAAATTTTTAGAATAGTCGTGCACCAAGTCGTGCAACCTAGTGCACCAAGTAGAACTTTGACACAATCTCTTTGAAGTTTTAGAATCTGTAGTCATTGATAGACCTACCCTTGTGGTTTTTTCATATTAGTAACTGCAGTCCCTCACTCCCTCTGCAATACCTATTTATTAGTGAAACATGTCCGGAAAACAACAAGTCTAATGTGAGTTAGAGTTTTCAACATTTCAATATACCCCTTACTTTAAATAAGTGTTAATGCTTTTTGTCAGGATTGCATTGCCTGTAATACTGAAAGGTATTACAATGATTATGATCATTAAAAAACTATGAAACAGAGCCTCCACATATTAAAGATTTTTTGACCGGTTTTGGGGCTCTCAAAATCAAATTCGAATTAGAGTCCAAATGACACATTATGGTACACTGAGAAAAAGATTTTTTAGCCTGCGGTTGTATTAAAATCAAAACCCGAAAAGCGTTAAAACGCCAGTAAAATGTGTTGAAAATAAAGCTGAATCTCTCGACATTTTCCAGTTTTGACGATCGAGTGCATATGATTCTTTATAAAAATAACATCACAACTCTTTCTAATTTTATTTTTATAAAATCTGAATGTGTCACGAAGGCAGCTCCAGGTTTTTTTCTTTTCCCCCTCGATTTGAAGGGCTGGTAGGGAAGGTTGCAACTGCTGATTATATGTCAGAGGTCTAGAAACACACAAACAAATGTCATGGATAATATCAAGGTATTTCTTTCTCTCTGATCGCTGTTTTTTGGGTCATAGCTTTTTTCTCTGCAAAGTGAGGTCAAAGAAATTCGAGAATAAAATGATAAGTTTGTTCACCGAAATTACTGTTGTTGTCTGCTTATGAAACCCGAGCGGTCTTACTATCAACATTGGGCACATCTTCCTCTATATCTGCTTTACTATTAACTTTGTCACGATGCAGCTGGCTTCTTTCTTCAATTCAACTTCTATTTGCTATTATCTAAAAGTTCTACTTGCTTTCAATTTTCTTTATTTATCTCACATATTATTTTTGAAACAAATGATGATTCTAGCATGCAATACTGGGTCTTTATGATTGATTGTACTGGTGAACTTTTCAGGGATGCAAGCAGAAAGGAAAATCAGTTTTGTTCTCCACGAGCCGGAAAACGAATCAGAGGCAAGTATGATTACCCTTATTTTTCAGGTGATTTTGTAGTCAGTGTTTAGTGAAATGGAAGATGACACACCATCAGAACTGCACATGAAACTAGTGTCACTTCGTTCAAGTTTTACTGCTTTTTTTCATTGTTCAAAATTTTGCTTTATCCCTCTCAAAGACATTTTCAAACCCAGATGACGTAAACTGGGACCATTAAACATGTATCAGAAAAAGTACTCTCATAATATCGTCTGCAAAATTTTCCCCTATCTTCCTGAAACATTTGGCCATTCCAATAATCAGGCAGGGAACGTTCTTCTACAAAAATATGCACCAAATGTATATGTTCCTGGAATTTGACGCAAATTGTTTTTACAAAACGATCATATTTTAATCATCCGACTTTGTCAACAATCTGTCAAATCAATGTAAGAGCCAGCCACTGTGAGATTTTCAAAATAGCATTAAGTTTATCAATCAGATAGCATGTAAAGATTGGATGACTGAATCTTAGATTCTACAATCAATGTTATTCTACCTTCTTAGACCTAAAGAATTTTTCCAATCATTGAATTCCTTTTAATTCTTAGATATTACAGATTTGTTTTTTTCATTCTTTTGCCTAATCTTGCTGAAGAACTTTTTCTCTCTCTCTCTTTCTTGTCCGGGGAACTATAATAGGATCAAAATCAGTTTCGCTCTATACCCTCAATGACTGACGGTTGAATTTAAGAGAGGCTCTCTGTCCCGTGTCACAGAATATCTGGGTTCCTCGTAGTATAATTTTCTCAGTAAAATTTAAGTACCCAGTAGTTTAAGCCAAGTAAATTCAAGTAGTTATATTTTTAGTACAATTTTCCTCAATAATTCAGTGGAAGAGTTCCGATTGCACACAATTTAAATTTTATACTATAAAAGATTCATTCAGTTTTTACATAATTTGAATCAAATAAAAAAGATGGAATGCAAGACGCTTACCTACTCAAAGATGAAAGTGAACTGTGCCGACACTTATTTTGCATTTTTTTCCTCAGGGTGACAACAATCATTGGACAGATGACAAGAAAGGTCGAAGGCCTACAACCACCACAAGTCGACCTTACTTATTACGAAGAGGCACAGCGGGTGCGCCAACAGGGTCATTCAAAAGGAGGAGTCTCAAATTGCGCAGGAACACCAAAGAAGGAAAAGATATGATGGAATGTGACTGTAAGTCATGACAGTCTCTTACCAAATATTTGAGCTAAAATGTGTGTGCAAGATGAAAATATTGATCTCAGTTCAAATCCAAAATAGTTTAGTTAAAGTTCTTTCATTTCTGTCGAACTATTTTTCATTTTATTCTTTTCCATCTCTTGAATTAAGTTGTAAACAAACTAAACCTAACTGGTGAGGGAACTTAACCTTAACGGAAGATTACTTCCCAGAGTCCAGCTAAATGTTATTGCTATAAATTGATTCCATTATTATTTTCAACATTTTAAATCATTTCGCATAATTTTCGTTAAAGAGGTTTTAATGTATCAAATTTAATAATGACTTACTTCATTATATTCCTACCAGTAGGCCCCGAAAAGAATTTTGCATATCTTCCCAGCTTCTAGCTGACAGTGTTCATTCAGCCAAAAATTTTAAAGCTAGTGGTAATTGTCTCATCATCAAATTTTGTATTGTAAAATCAAGCAAAATGCTCATATCTCTATGTTTTATGATTGCAGTCAAGCGAGCAGATTCAATTCAGTCAAAGCGTAAAGTAAGCTCCATTTCAGATCGCAGTGATTTCTCTGAACAAGGAGTGGAAGCAAGTGGTGAAGAATCACCAGGTGTTTTAAGTGATGAGATTCCTCCAGCTAGTCCCAGTGATAGCAACGATACAGACGAGACATGCTCAAATTTGCCTTGGATGAAGGTAATCCAGTGTTGAGTGGCCAGGCGTTCAATTTGTGTTAACTGTATGTTGACAAAAAACGTCACTCATGGGCTAACCCCCCTCCCCCCTTCCCCAAGAAAAAAATAGTGAGGAAATTTCCTCCAAGCCAGACTAGTTTTTAATTTTTTATCTTTTCCATGAGTTTAGTGGAATCCAAATCTGTCAAAAAGAATTAGTTAACAGCAGAATTTTTAGTTTCACCCTCACAGCACAGTATTTCTGATAGATTCAAACTTACAGTAACATCACAGTAAGGTTTTTAAATTCAATTTTACTGCAGAATTTATTTTTCAGTGGGTGGATTAGTCTCTGGAAAAAATAATTGTACTGTGAGGTCCTAGAACAGGCTTTAAAAAGAACTTCCAGTTTGGACGTTAGAGATCCTCTTTTCTTGAATAAAGATGGTGACTCTTAATGGCGTAGGATGATAGTTGTTATTTTTAGCACTTTCAGAAAGGCAAAATGCTTTTATAATTGATCTGAGTTTGCCCCCAGTTTTTGTATGAGTTCAGTTGCAAAGTATATGCAATATTTGTAGTTACAAAGTATTGTCCTGTTAATTTCCAAAAATAGAAAAAAAAATTCAGTATTTTTTTTCTATTTCAGATTGTTGCTCAAATAATAAATTCGTTCAATTTTTTTTGCTCACATCAAAATTTCTGTCATCCACTCTGCCACCGTCGTCATATGCGAGCCTGCACGAGACTTGTTAAAGCTGTCCGCAGGGTGAGTTATCAAAATCAGACTCCAAATATTTTAAAACTACATATCCCGTATCTTCTCCAGGCTTTCAAATTCCACTAGAAATGTTTACCAATGTTGTGGAGCAAATATTTAGTTGAAAGTTTTATTCGAGTTGGGTCCTTGACATCAACAGCTAGCTGATCCAGTAACGCCAAATTTAGAAAACTCAGACTCCAGAAAATGAGATTGACTCAATTTTGTTTTTGGGAGCTGATGGCTTTTCTATTTGATAACTGTGCAAACTCTGAACACAGTAAGGATGGTATCCACAGTCACTCCTTAATTAGCATCTTACCTTAAGAGGCCCCACCGCCTATCTATATGGTAAACTATGTGACTGCAGGAGGTTTTAGAAGACCCTTAATGTAGCATCATTTTAAGGACAATTTTTACGAACTTTCAAGTAAAATTCAACCATATAGCTTTGGAAACAGATCCTTACTAGGGACTACGGTGGTATGCCACCGCAAAAACATTCAAATTAGTTAAGAAAAAAATCGCTGATTTTGCAAATTTTAAAGTTGGATTATAGCTACTACTTATAAAATTTGTCGAGATCATAGCATTTTTTATTTTACGCCCTTGCAAGTATCCATTTTCAAAGATATACTGTCGAATGTTACTCGGGAATTCGTAAAAATTGCCCTTAACATTATATGCTTTATGCAGATCTTGTTAAATATCCCTTAGTCAAAATGTAAATCATATAGGACTCCCTAAGGACAAGAACTGATTTAGGAATCACAACAGATTTTTTTAGGGTGAAGAATTACTTAATGAATGCAATGAATTGATGCAAGCCCCCAGTGATTTGCTCATCTATATAAAGCAAGTACTCCTCTTCATACATGCTTCTGTCTCGATCCCTTAAAGCAGAAATTTGACGTGTTAAGGTTTTTTTTGTTTATATTTCTATTTCTGATTTTGTGTTTAATTTTTTTACTATTTGTGATTCAGTGTTATTACTAGTGGTTCTAAATAAAGAATAAACATAGTTTGATCTATTGTTAATTCTATGGTATGATTTTCAGGTCTACGGAGAGGATTTTGGGATCCCAGAAAAAATAAAAGAAGCTGTGGCAGAAGAAACAAAGAAAGATGTCAAAGGACGTAATCGTAAAGTTTCTGAACAAGCAAGTTCCCAGACCTCTCCAGTGAGACGAAAAGACAGCATCTGCAAAAAAGACAGGTGAAAACTTTTCTTCCCTTGCCACTGTTTACCAAGAGAATAAGTTTGTTTGTTTGTTTGTTTTTTTTTTTTTACTTCATTGCACTTTTATTTACTTTTCACTTCATCGAAGCCTCCGTCAAATCAATTAGGTACTTAACAATTTTGGGATTTTAAGAAAAGTGCTTCCAAAGATGAAAAATTACATTGAGGTTTTCGACAGATAAAATTTTAAATTGATACATATTGTCAAACTAAAAAATGAGTTTATGAGGTCAAGTTTTTAGAAAAGTTTACTTTGAAATAATTTTTTTCAACAAAACCAATACCTCTATTTTTTGAAAAGTGTCATTTAAGTACGTCCTTTCTCTGGAGACCTCAATTGAAATCACCAATTATTTATCTATAACGGTTATTTTCTTTGTCTTGCTTTTCTACATCAATTTAATCATTATTATCATTTTTCTGTTCAAAGGATCGATAGAAATATGGACAACTCTCTTGGCAAAGGATCGACAAAAGATATTGCAGACTCTACTATTTTTCATGAGAAACACAAACGCTCGGAGGAAAAAACTGAAGCAGAGGAAGAAAAGAGCAAAGAGCTCCCTAACATTGTGAAGTACATTAAAACTCAAGTAAGTTAATCAATTTTTAAAAAATTAGTAATTTATCTGTTTCAAGATCTGGTTGATATAAGTAATTAAGTAATGAGTATTTCTGTTTGTTCCACTCATAAGTGAAGTAATTTTTTTTCCCTAGTGCGTTTATCGAATTGGAGCAAAGAAAATATCGACAGTGAAACTACCAGACCACGTATCTCGGTTTGCGACGTTGCAGACTTCCTGTCATACTTTATTTTTTAAATAGAAAACTACTCAATATCAATTCGTGGAAACTTCCGCGATTTTTCCTCTTTGTGCAGAGAAAAATCTGTGAAAATTGTAAGGAATGATATTAATTTGATCTCCTTCAAAATAATAAAATGTAAGTGGAGATTTTTAAACACTGCAAACGAGATACGTGGTCTGGTAGTTTCACCGTCAATATGAAACATTCTCACCAGTTTTAAGTCTTAGTGAGGAATGGTGTTTTAAGGCCCGAAAACGGGCACATACAGAATTTTTGCAGCCTCTACGTTTTGTAACTGCAGAAAGTTTATATCTAATGAAAGAAAATGTTTCTAGCTCATCATCAAATCCTTTTAGTGATACATTGCTGTCATCATGAGTCTGAAAAGCCAAAATTGACGATTTTAAAGGGGTTTTTTAAAGTATATTGTTGATTTTTAACCAGAATGGAAAGGAGCACTAGTATGATTTTTGCATTGATAGACCTCTCTTAATCTACATGGAAACAAATCTGAAACGCAGATTGATACTAGCTCGCACTCTGGTTAAAAAATGATTTTAAAATCAGAAAAACCATATAAAATGGTAAATTTTCAGCACATGCTCATGGCAATAAATTGTACTCGCAAGATTCAATGGCTATTTGGAACCAATTATTTTCATCAAAAATGGACCCTTTGTCAAAAATTACTAGAGATAATAAAAATTAGGGCAGGTCCAAATTCAGCCCAATGGCTGGGCTGATCTTGGCTCTAAATGAAATTTCTCCTCCAATAAGATTTTTGCAAAGAAAATGACACCAATAATCTACGAAACCAACAAAACTTTTTCAGGTCAAAGATGCCTTCCACCTAGCCCTAGCTGTTATGATCAAAGGAGGAGTTGTTTTGGCCGAGGATTTACTCATTGAGGTGTTACCAGCTGCGTGGGAACTGTTGCTTGAGCCAAACCAAGAGGTAGCAGCCTGCGCAGCAACGTTCATCATTATCGCCTCTATTCGTGTCCCAAATCCAGTTGCAGAACTCTTACAGCAAAATCTGAACCATCAGGATCCAGCAGTAAGGATCAGCTCACTCTTACGCTACCAGATTCTTTGGAGTCAGCGATATCTAGCTGTGAATCGTATGGAAGAAGGGGCTCATTTAACCTTGAGGGTACCGCCTCCCAGTATTGAGTTCACACTTCCTTCTCCAAAAATTGGAATTGAGTCTCTACCTGTTGTTGACTCACCCTGGGAGCCCTTGGTCAAAAGCAAAGTTGAAGATGTTACGATTGGTCAAGATAGTCATGTGAGTACATTGATCTCTGTAATTTGTCCATCTTTCTGGGTTCTTCCATGTAAATCAGTAAATCAAGTTACTGTCAAGTCCAGGCTTTACCACCTCTTATCAAAAAATCTGGTCAAAGCCAAACTTCAAAATCTTTTCTGAGAGAAGTGCAATGCCCAAACATGGTTTTTTTACGGCCAAAATAACATTTTAAGCTTTCATGTAACATTTTGGAACTAAAAATAATCGATTAACGATAACTCGCCATTTGAAGCTATGGTAAAGAATCGATTACTAAGGTGTTTGCTGCGAACACCCAGATAATCGATCTTTTTTCATAGGTTTGAGTGGCGTATCAATCGATATATCGCAAAGCACGCCACGCCACTGAATAACACCACGTTTGGCTAAATCGTAACAATAAATGGTAGAATTGGCTTGAAAAAATTTACTCGCAGAAATTGGAACGTGAATAGTTAGTTGATTTTCTCATCAAGAAATCAAGCACAACCATTGAATTTCAACTACAGAGTAATCTAAACTAGTGTTCTTATGGTTCTTGCATTTTGGGATTAAAGTATTGAAAATTTCTTCTTTCTCCTAAGTGATTCTCGTTGTTTGTTACAGCGGTCTTTGGTGACAGCCACAAAGACGCGAAAAAAGCAACAAACTGATATGATCAAATTGGCGCTATTGCAAAGAGAAAACCAAGAACGCAACGAGAGAGAAACTTTCTTGATTACGACAATTCCTATTCTCACCCAAGCTGCCAACGAACAGCGATCTCATCACAATGCTGGTGATGACCATGATGAAGGTATATATTTAAATACTGTATGTTTAAAGTATTACACAAACTTTTTCTCCCTGGTTTCTTTAAAGTTGCCCTAATTATCTCCCTTTTTTTGGAAAATGCAGTTTTCATGAAGAATTAAAGGAATAAAATTGGTCAATTTTCTCTAAAAAATACTGAAATAAATAAAAATAAACGAAGGAACTTTGAAAAGCTATTTATTCAAGACATGCTGTTTTTGTCACTACATCTAACTACAACTTTATTTTCAACCTAGTTTTAAGTACTGTTCCATATAAATATAGGTTCTCAACACTCCTGAATTCACCTTGAAATTCTTTCCGCAGGTGAAGAGGATCCAATGGAGACTCAAACTAGAAGTCATCACACACAAGTTTCTCATGCATTTTTTCCGTCTAGTTTGTGCACTGCTGCCGTTTACATCATCGGGTTACTGGATGATGCTGCTGTTTCTCAAGATGGAGTGGCAGTCTACGAAATCACATATGAGGTATGTCAGCGTAACTTCTAGTAATTACTTCCAAACATGTTCTTCCTCATGATGGGTCATTTTACGCGAAACCGTCACTATTATATTTTTTTGCTCAACTTCGTCTTTCATTCTCCCTGTAGCTCATCATTTAGAATGGAAGCATTATTTACTTTTTTTAGACATATCTCTTTTAATGATCTTTTTTTAATAACATCTTCTCAAATTCTAATAAGCAATATTGAGTAAATTTTGTTCTTTCAGTTCTTTTGTATTTTAAATTTACTATTGCTAACCATGCAGGGCAGGATTTGAAGGGGGGCTGCAGCCCATGGTGGCGTGGCAAACTGCGGAAATGCAATACATGTAAAAAGTGAATACTTTTAATTTTTTTTTTCAAAAGTCAAAAAGGCTTAAAGTCACCACTGTTGGAATCTAGTGGCAGCAAACTGTTGTCGGCCAAGGCTGGCAAAGTTGTACAATCAGCCCTGTATTTTACATAGGGATCTTCTATGCAAAAAAAAAAAGTTCTGCCATTTGAACGGTGACCCAAGAATGGTGGCTCATGCATTTAAAATCTGCATGAAACCACCTAATGATGAACTGGATCCATCCAACCAGAATCAGCCTAACAACATCAAACGTTGCCTTATTCCCCTCGTTATATTTTTTAAACAGAAAACTACCCGAGTAACATTCTAATTTAAAATTTCGTGATTATACTTTTGATGATAGATGAGAAATTTTTAGAGAGTTTCTAGGTTTAAAAAAAGAGAGCAAGAGAGGAAATAAGGCAAATTGAAATACTTGAAACCAATTCCGGTTAAATCTGTTCAACTATTTGAAAAATCAATAGTATTTTCTACCAATGGTCAGCCTAATCCTAGCGTATTTTGATCAAAGTAAATGGCCAATGCACCATACTCTGGGACAAGAGAACTGATACCTAGAAGCTCTTTAACAATGGTTGATTTCAAAATTCGTGGATGGATCTGTTCTTTTTAAGATTTTGACTCGGGGGAAAAAATCTTGGGGGAAAAAAATGTGTTGCATCTGAGGAAAGAGGAACCTATATGATCAGGCAAGTTTTTCAGGAGAGCAACAAAATGCAACTTTGGTAAGAAATATCGTTTTTTAGTTTTTGATGCTTATCAATTTTTGCAGATCTTAAGAACACTAAGTTAAAATTTGAACTCGTATTTTGCATTTTTATTGATGCTCTAATCATTTCAAGTGAAGGGGGTTGAAAGCAGCAACAGCCAGAGAGGACACCATCTCAACTCATATGAGCAGATGTTATCAAATTTATGATGGCAAGGTTATGCTTTTAAGTACAAACATGAATATAAAGATTAATTAGAGTCATTATTCAATTAAATGCTTTTAAAATTCTGGAAAGTGTGTCATTTTGTACCTAAGGGTCTGTAGTTGATATTTTACCACATTTCCGAATTTATAATGCAATATGGCGGCTGACAGACAGCCGTTACGGAATAGCAGTGCGGCCTTTTACCCCCAAGCCGAATTCTCTTGGTAAAATTATTTCAAAACTTTGCAATTATCTCAAAATCATGTCTTTAACTTTGAAATGCACAAGAAAAGTCAATTTTTGGAATTTTTTAAGGTATGTAAAATTATTCAAAATTAACTCCTCAATGCAAAAATGTAGCCCCCCCTCTCCTCTTCTCAGGTGCATCACAAATTTAATGATGGACTTAGTTGAGGATAAAATACTTTTAAAAAAAAAGAAACAAAAAAAATTAGAAGTTTCATGATATTTATTTCATAAAATGATGATAAACACAAGAAATACAGTATATGGAAACTTAAACAAAGTAATTACTGCAATAACAAATTGTAATTGAAAAAGGATCATTTATAACACAAATTAAGTAAGTATAAAGGAAAGTAGACATACTATTTGTTGAAATCATTACAAATATGAAATCCAGGTAATGCTTCGATGAGCATTATCAAGATTTGTTCTCAATACAGAAAAAACAGATTTACTGTCACAGAGGTAAAATTTGTTGGTCAAAATCAAAATTCTCCATGTTTAAAACTGATGTTAGTCTCGAATTTTTCTATTCTTCGTTTTCTGTCAACCAGGAATAAGAAGGCACATTTGAGAGGGATGAAAACTTCATGTGCCACATCCTAAGCAAAAATAAAGCTTTTGTGGACGAAATATCTTTGAAAAAAAGCGAGATGTTATCTTCTAGGTCAAATATACCGTTATTTTACATTTAGAAAAAATAATAAGAAATATGAAAGATTAAACCATCATTAAAATTTCAACATTAAACAGAAAAAAACAGCAAAAAAAAAAAACAACAAAAGGTTGGTTATGAAATGGATCTGTGAAATAAAGATAGAAAAAATTGTTCAGATCCAAAATGTTTTGAATCAAAACTGTTGAATGAAATTTTGCTAAGATACGAGTATGACTCTAATGACCAAGGAACGCAATTCTTGAAAAAATCGGTAAATTGAACATAAAATGGAAAAAATATCAGAGTAAAAAAAAATTAAGAAGTACCTGAATTTTTTCGGATGGTAATTAAATGCTTAACCAAGAAATTTAAATGAATACTAGTACGTAATTCAAGAAGGAAAATGTATATAGAGTAATTATTTTTGAGCAATTCCTCTATTTTTTACATTCCTGAGTGAGAAAGTGAGGTAATAAAGAAAAACAGGATGCATTAAGGCCACTATTTTTAAATTTTTAACAATTAGACTTGTAAACTTAACTGAGTGCAGCAGAGAAACCTTAGTGGGCCATTAACTCGATAATGGCAAATCAATAGAAGGAATTTATCTCATTAGAATTAAAATTTAAATTTTCCATCTTCGAATCAGTTTTAATTTGTGGAATCATTTGGATTATTGCTATGCCACTTTTTTAATTTTACTTTATCCCCAGTAAATACACTTACGTCTCAGGGCCGTAGGAATTCCGGTAAAAGTCACCATCTAAATCTACTTTATTGATGTACACTATTTCTAGGGTCTAAGTCTCTGGAAACAGAAAAGGTAAAATCTTGAGCATCCTAAGTAAATTATTCGAAAATTGGAGTTCACTTCAAACTTAGCTCACTTAGCGGGTTCGCTTAGCTGGTAGGTCAACCTTGCTTGAGCATCTTTTATGGCCAGCTTTGTTAAGCTCTGATTTTTTTTTAATCTTTGATATGAATGAGAGTTGTTCCTTAGTAGGATGTTTCTCCGCAATTGACATCAATTCATCAACAAAAGCTTTCCTCACCACTTTTGCTGCATTTAGTATGATCTGTGTTACCTTGGACTCAAATAGATCCCAATCCATGGTTTGGCATAACTGTGCTAGAGACTTGCCATCATCTTCTGTCAAGGCTGAACGTTCAGCTACAGTTAAGAATATTGCTTCCTTCAGCCATTGCTCAAAACTTTTTCTTTCGGCAGAACTTGATTCTGGCACAATTGTGCTAAAGCCCTCTTCAACTAATGCCAAGAATTCTATCATGGTGGCAACAGAAGATGATCCTTGCATACATGTAAGCAATTTATCATTCAATTTTGAGATACTGTTGTTTGCAACAAACTGTCCTATTTTTCGAGCATTCGTGAGCAAAATTCTGTCCCCTCTACTTTTGCATGCCTCGCCTAAGAGGTCAATATAACCTTCATCCAAAGCAGTGTCTAATGCTTTTTTGAAAAAAGGCGGAATAGGCTTTGAAGATATATCAGAGCGAGGATAACGACAATCATCTCTGGGTTTCTGTTTCAAAGCAAGCTCACACAGCTGTTTCAATTTTGATTTTTGAGTTGGGTCCTCAGAAAATTCTTTCATGAGTTTGTAGAATAATGGTCGAATAAGTTTTCCTTTAAAACCAAATTTGAATACGAAGTCCAGCTGTTTTGAAGGTGGTACAAGGATGGCAACTGTGTCTTTGTACCAGAATGTGGCTGGACTACCTTCATTACCTGTCGGACCTTCGTGTTCCTCCTCGAAGGGATTGCCATCGTCTTGTGGTGTTGGATCTAGCAAGGCTCCCTCTGGAATACTAAAATGCCTCACAACAAACTTGCCATTAAGCTCGACCATATTTCTTATCACTTGCATCTTCATTTCGTCTAGCATGCCTTCATCACAGGTATTGACTCGAAGCTCCAGAGTCGCGAGGTAAACATTGAACCCAAGCTTCGTTGATACCTGTGCAAGCGTTTGAACATGGGCAAAGTCTTTAGGTTTGAGCAATTTCAATTGTAAATTAGCTTGGGTATATTTGTGTTTCAACTTATGCAATAGCATTGGTGGTAGTTTGTCATCTCCAACATCTTTCTCAAGCTGCAAATTATAATCCTTGAACAACGTTGAAAGTTTGTTTGCATGCTCAAGGGCCAATTCATAAGGTGGTATTTCAAAGTCTGTTTGCTGAATGAGATTATAAGTAAGTACCAGGCGATGACCTGATGTTACAGGAAGTACTTCATGTGTTATGTCTGCATACCAGCAAGCATATGAAAATTCATAATTTGATGAAGCAGATGTTTCAAACTCGTACTTCTCACCGTCATGCGTCAAGACTAGCTTTCCACCTTCGTGTGGACATGGCAAACAGATAACAAGCGTGGCAAACATGCCATCAGCTTTTTCAGTGTCTTTGTGAGGCTTGAAAAATGCCCCTGGCTCGTACAATAGAAGCTTGTTTAGTTCTGCTCGGATTTTTTTTGTTCCTTTTGTTATTCCCAGTCCACGGTTGACATCCTTTAGGATCGTTTTCATTGCCTCTTGCCATTTAGGATTCTGGAGAGAAAACTGCTCAGGCTTCAGCTCCCAACTCTTACGCACTGCTGTATCAACTATCGTCTCTTCTCCTCTACCGAAAGGGGATTGACTGGCCTCACGGATGATTTTTTGGGCATCTGAAGTTGTAAGGGGTAGACCCATGACTCCATGACTGGGCACGTATAGACCTGGATTTGGCAGGGATGAGCTCACAGCACTAAATGCAAAAGCACTGGGAGCTTTTATCTCCTGCAGAGTCATCAAAATTTGGGTCCGAAAATCTTCATCCGATCGCTCCTCTAAGTCTCTATCTTCGATCTGATCTTGCCAAGAACATTTATCTGACTCGTCATCGGCGCCTTCAAAATTTGATACATCTTCATCAGATTCTGGATTTGAATCTTTCTCATCTGATTCTGGATATTGCCGGATTCGTTGATTTAATTGAAATTTGTAACGATCCAATACATTGTGAACAGTAGATTCAAAATCCATTGGTGAATCCTCATTTTCATAATCTGTCTCTTCTTCTTCTCCTCCTTCTTCAGATCCTGAATCCATACAATAGAGCCTCATCCAGCTCATTTTGATGGTTATTACCTAAAATAAAGAGAAAATTTTATAGCCATTATGCAGAATTACGTTCAGTGGGTACACATAAACACTAAAAATACTCCTTTCAAAGAAACCATTGATAAGTAGAGTGCTGGCTAAGTGAAGAAAAATTTAGGATACTGAAGTTTAAATACATTTATGCTGAAATCATGCAGGAGAAATAGAACTCGAGAATAAAACGAAACGAAACTGAAAAAATAAAAGAAAGGAAGAGAGAACAACTATTTTTTTCCTCCACGTTTTGCCTCTTACTTCCTTTGTACCTCATAAAGGTCTTAAATGAAACACAATTAAGTAAATGATAGTGGCAGCATGCAACAATGTATTCTTGTTTTTTATGTATGAGTAACTATTTCAAGAGCAATATTCTGTTCCATTGCTAGGTAACATTCACACAATGGCCCACCAGACAGGATTATAAATTAAAGCACTACAGCACATTTTTCTCAAAAGAATTTCTTGCAGAGCACATTGATCGTTTTAAAAACTTTTAAAATTATTTTATAGATAAGCAATAAACGTTGGTAGGTAGTTTACATTAACAACAGTAAATTTAAACTTTTCGCTCGCAAAAACCACAATCAACGGAGGTCAATTAAATTAGACATTGAAATCAATCAATCCGTCAAGCAAATAACTAGAGCTTGATTACACACAATTCCTTTTTCTACTGATGCAAGGTAGGTATCCTTGACTTTTTCAAAAGGGGGGGAAAAAAAAATAAAAATAAAAAGAGAGTTTGTACACATGAAAATTCTTCCATTGTAAAATACACCAAAATCACTCTCCTGCCAACTTGAGTAGACTCTGGTTTTTTTGTGAGCAAGAATTTCAAACAGATTGAGACAAAAACAATTATTTTCCAACTTGTGAATTGAATTTGGAAAGGATCAAGCAATAGGTACGCCTATTGTATTTTACATAAAATTCTGGAAAGGAACTACTGAAGAATTGTGGTTTTTGATTTCATACCCTGTTTAGTGATCTATCGAGGAAATTCTGATTGATTGTTGTGCTTCCTTACGTAGAAAAAAGGAACAAAGTAAAATTTGGAAAAATTAGTTTTTCTCTCTTCCTTTTTTTTCTGTTAGTTCATATGATCAGTCTCTTCTGTTTATTTTTGGTGCAAATTTAACAAAGCTTCAATCTTGTCAAATTAAGTACCTAATAGTATAACAACCGAACACAATTGGTCTGAGTAAAACAGGGGAGGAGGAGGGGGAGATGGTCACTTGGAACAATCTCTTTTAGGGTTAAGACTTTAGGAGTCATTTTATTGTGATGGGTTTTAAACTAAACCATCTTTCAAATTTTTAATTAGTTTTTTCCTCCATATTTAATATCAAAGAACCAGATACACCTATGCAAACAGTGCAAGATGTGGATGGACCCAGACAGGTTCTGCTGTGCAGGGTGTCTACTAAAACAGGCTGGCCAAAAATCAGTACTTTTACAGTACATTCCCAAGAAATTCAGTACCATCTCAACAGAAAAATTCAGTACTTTTACAGTACCTCCATTTGACGAGATTCGAAAAAATTCAAATTTTGAATTTCTCGCTCAAAGTGCGACAAAAATGCCAAAAAAAAAAAAAAAAAATGAAAAATTCCGGACCTTCTTGCGGAATTCGGCACTTTTACAGTACTTCCGGACCGACCTTAAAAAATCAGTACTATTTCCGGAAATTCGAGACTTGTAGACACTCTGGCTGTGTCATGAAAGAACACACCAAGAATCAAAAGATTCGAATATTAAGATATTTGCATCTAAAATCTGCTGCATGACTTTCGGTTGTATAGGTAGCAAAATTTTGATTAATTGCATAAATAGATAAACCTCAATAAAGCCACATAAGACTACTAAATGGCAAGTTGTACTTAAAGCTGGGGCAGTGGCTCTTAGAGAAAACGTAGGACAAAAATATGAGAAATCCTGGAGTCATACCTGCCCTAAAAAAATTTCAAAATTTGAAGATTTTTGAGGCCATATTTGCCCGTCAAGTACCTCGTTTTCAGTTTCATGAAATTAATTTTCAGGTAATAAACTTGGAGCTATTACCTACCCCCTTTGCATTGCCCCCCCCCTCCTGTTCTTTGCCGCACGACATGCCATAGCCCCCATTAATTCTGTGCCCACACAATGCTACTGCCAGAGATTGACCACATTCTGTCACAGATGCATTCCCTGGTTATGAAAAGGTTTTACCTCCTGATCTGGAGGTTATTCTTAAACTTCTGTCAGATAGAGAGTGTCGCATTTTGATGTTTCTCATAGGGGAAAAAAAAGGAGGTGTTTGCATTTCAAGCATCTTGGACATTTTTTGATAACATAGGTAGGTACGGTGACTTTAATCATCGATTTCCTTGAAAATGGTGCAAATGGTTGATGGAAAAAATGCATTCTACGTAAGGTGTTTGAAATTATGAGTTGATTCAAGCAGAGAATCAGACATTATGGATAATGTATCATCCTTTGCAATTAGGATTTTGCTGATCAGGTTGTATCCACCTACATTGCAGGGTATACAATCCTCAAGATGCAAACACCTCCTTTTTTTTCTTAATGGATGTTTCTGGTAGATATACTTAGTTGAAATTGAGTATTTCGATAAGTGTACATGTGCCGGCATCGTATCACTTTCGACCAATGAATTCTTGCAGTTTTGGCTCCTGCTAGAATTGGGGATAGTATGATTACAACAGTAGTCTCCAACAATACTCAAGCAAAACTTTGTAGACCTAGTAAAAGTGAGTCAGCCCGACGTCAGGCTGTTTCATAAACTACCCTAAGTCTGACAGATTCAGGCTGACATCAGTCTGACCGTTGCCTACGAGAATAACAGCCTGGATCAGTCTGACTCAGGGTAGTTTATGAAACATAGCCTGATGTCAGGCTGAATCACTTTCACATGGGATATTTTTTTATATCCTTCCTTAAATATGGTCTGACCTAGGCACCCTGGTCTTTTTGTTGGTCGCTCATTATTTGCCTCAGTGTAAATATATTTAGACATGACACTTACCTAATAGTGTCTACTACTTCCAGAGAGCTAAAATTAATTTCAAAGAGCAATGATTCTTCCTATTATTTATTTGTTTTAACTTGAAAACCAAATTTTTCTTCCTGAATCTACGTACAAGCCACGAGGAGATGATACTAAGAAAGAACCACGTTACATGAAAATGTAAACAAATGGAATCTTCCAACTTCCAATCCCATTGGTTCCCGCCAATTCCAGTGGCGCGCTGGGCAAAATATACAAATTGACGCGCCACTTTTCAAATAAGCGGGGACTACTCTCGTCGCCCGCAAACTGAACATCAGGAATACCTACGTTCTGGACGGTATGAGTTGTTTATGGTATACCTACAACTACTTCAGGCACGTAGTCAGGATTTTGTTTCGGGGGGGGGGGGGGG